AGTGTACTGGTGTGAGTCTGGATCAGGAGAGTTCAGCAGTGCAGTCAACATCACTGTACAGAGTATGTTATTATACATTTACTTCTTGGATCTGAATGATTTAACGTCACATGAACATTTGTCTCAACTTTGCTGTATGTAACTCTATGTGGCAAAACAAACAAAACTGTGACAATTTTATACAAAAAAATCATCAAAATATTCTCTGTTGTTGGGCTCATTTCACTCGATCTTTTCATAATCACGTTTGTAAAAACTTGCACATAGTAATTTTATATTTTTTCTCTGTCAGAATAAAACTCTAAAGAACTCAACAACTCTGTCATCAGATTAGATGAACTTTTATTGTCTCCATTCAGAAAATTCAGGCAAACATGTCATGCAAAATAAGACAAACATACAAATGTTTACAATTTCAACTATAACCATTAAATTATGTCACTGTTAATAGTTTGACTCCTCCAGGGAGGATGAAGGGAGCATCCCAACTATATTTCCAGTCCTCTTAATCAAATTTTGAATTTGGGATCTGAGTTTGACAGAAAGTTTTCAAAACCATGTAGTGATACCATATACCAACAGATTCAACAATCTCCATATAGAATAGTAACATGATGCATTTATTTACTCCATGGACGCTCAGCCTTCTAAAAAATGCAAATGGTGACTACATGAATGATCCACATGATGAACCCACTGTAACTGAACATCTAAACATGAAATATTGTCACTTGTTCAATATTGTCTCCAGTCATTAAAACCAGGCTGAGATCTCCAAAAGTATAATCTCAGAAAATCTCTCTGAAGCCAGGTCTGCATGTAGATCATTAGACACGACTCACAGCTTTTTCGCAAAGGTGGGCGATCATGGCTCAAGAGTTGGGCGTTTGTCTTGTAATCGGAAGGTTGCTGGTTCGAGCCCTGACTCCAACAGTCTCGGTCGTTGTGTCCTTGGGCAAGACACTTTACCCGTTGCCTGGTGGTGGTCAGAGGGCCTGGTGGTGCCAGTGTCCGGCAACCTCGCCTCTGTCAGTGCGCCCCAGGGCGGCTGTGGCTACAATGTAGCTTGCCATCACCAGTGTGTGGATGATTGTGTATAGTGTAAAGAGCTTTTGGGATCCTTAGGAGCGCTATACAAATACAATTACCCAAGGTTTGCACCAGCTGGTCTGACTAAAACAATATGTTTGTTTTTTGGTTTTCACAGATTATTATTATGATCCTATCCTGGTGAGTCCTGTTCATCCTGTGACTGAGGGAGCTTCTGTTAGTCTGAGCTGCAGTTTGAGAAGACAAAAAATACTTTCCAATGTGTTTTTCTATCACAAT